AGCCTGCAGCCTCTGGAGGTCTCAGAGCAGGAGCAGGCTGAGAACACAAGCTCCTATGCAGAGCCACACAGCCGGCAAGCAGTGACATGGGGACTGGAACCAGAGCTGTCCCCAAAGCCTGTGGTCACACGGACACCAGTCTGTCGTCTTTCCAGCCAGGGGGGGTAAACATCCACAATAAAATTCTTATGTTACACCTGAGGAAAGAAAAAGAAGGGCTGGGAGTGTAGCTCAGTGGCACAAGTGCCTGCCTGGCAAGTGCAAGGTCCTGAGTGCAATTTCTGATACTTAAAAAAAAAAAAGAAAAAGAAAAAAAGATTGAGACAGAAAAGTGAAAGCACGTTTCCCAGGTCACCCAGTTAATACAGATGTGTAGCAAGCTGCTCCAGCACACTGGAGCTGGATCCTGCTCTTGCTGGGTTTCTCTCTTCTTCTCCCTCCCTCCACCCTCCCTTCCCTCCTGGCCCGCTTCTGGTAAAGCCATTTAACCCGTCCCAGGAAGGATGGGTGGATCCTTCAGTTATACAAAAATCTCTGTTTTCTGAAATGTCATGGCTCCACTCACGCTTCTGTCTTATTCTTCCAGCAGGGATATATAATGTTCAGAGCTCTTGCATTTGCAAGCTGGAAGGGCCCGGACTTTGAAATAGTGTCTTGATTTCACTGCTTTTGATTTGTGGTTGTTTTGTCTTGTTTTACGTGGAGGAACCCGGGGAAGTGAAGACACTGGGCTGGGTGCAGCACAACACGGCCTGCAACAGCTGAGCCGGGAGCCCTCACCCCTGCTTTGCCATTTGCCAGCTACATGACCTTGGCCAAGTCTGTTCACCTCTCTGCCTCAGCTTGTTCAGCTCCAAGATGGGTGTGTCACAGTATCTGCAGCTATGGGCTGGAGAGGAAACGACACTTGTTGAGTGAGAACTTAGAGCAATGACCAGCATCACTCAGTCCATAGAGATTTATTAAGCACCTACTGTGTGCCAGTGCTAGGCACTAGAGAACCATGAGGCAAACTATGGAGGTAAGAATCAATTCCCACCCTGCACAGCGACACTGACGTGAGCTCAGTGGCAATAAAAGAAGGTTGAACAGGGGCTCTCTTGGGAGAGCCATTCTGAGTCAGGCGGTCAGAACTAAGCATAGGCGCAAAGAAGCTGTGGAAAGGGGTTTGGGTGGGTGTAAAGGAAAAGCATTCCAGACTGCAGGAACAGCCCCCACAAAGACCCTGCAGCCTGTGTGACCCAGGAGAGGCAGGGGAGACAGGCCAGGCCACCAGAGGTCGCAGAGTAAGCGAGCACCTTGACTCTGATTTGGAATTCAAGGAGCATCTTGCAAATCAAGGAAGATCTCAGGACACGTCTGACACTATGTGGAGACCCCTAATGGGTGGTGAGGGGGGCAGAGGCAGAGGCAGGGAGGCCACCTGGTGTCCACAGGCGAGGCCAGGTGCCTCGTGCCACAGTGGCAGGAGCCTGGGCTGCCAGGGGGCAGCACACAAGCCCATACAGCTCCCTGAGTCCTGGGGCTTCAGGAAGCAGCTGGCTGCTGGGTCCCCATCTAAGGGGCAGGGAATGAAGTTCACACCAGAAGTCACATCACTAGGAAGAGGCAGGTCGTGGCCTAGGACACCCACCCATTCCACAGTGGGGAGATCCCACATGGACTCTTCTCCCAAGGTCTCTAGAACTGGGAGATCCATCTTGGGTCCCACCTGCGACTTCTGTCTCTACCACGCACTACCAACCTGGGCCTAGCCAGCCCTGAACCTGAGAGGCCCCATGCCACAAGCCAGCCATGTCCTGGGACACACACACACACACACACACACACACACACACACACACCAGAAGTCCATGAGTCAGGAGGGCCCCCACCTCATCCCTGCCCCAAGCCCTCCTCTGCTGACCCCACTTCCCTGCCCCACGCCGGCCTCAGCCCCCACCCAAGTCCCAAGACCTTGCAGGGAGGGCTCGGCGACCCTGTGAGGAGGCCACGCTGGCCTCTCTGTGTACACAGGGATGCCCGCCTGTGCTGTCTCGGGAGGAGAAAAGGTTTCTTTGTGCCGGGGCTGGTGAAAGTGTGTCTGTTTGGGAAGGGAGGCTGCAGCTTCCTTAGAGACCGCTGCGGGCTTGGAGTGTGGGAAAGGGGCTCAGGCGATTTCCTGCGGCTGCGCAGGGCCAGCAGGGACTTCTCGGGGCGCAGAGAGAAGTGGCAGAGCTGGCGCTGGACAGGAAGGTGCTCCGACTCCCCACCAGAGGTGGGAGGTCCTGTTGGGGTCCCCCCTGGTTTGTGCCAAGCACAGCTTCTGGGAGGAGTTTCACCCACCCTGTTGCCAGCCTGGGAGGAAGAGGGCGCCAAGATTCTTTTGTGTCGTTGGGATGGTTTTTCCTCTTGGAGTAAAAAGAAATCAAAATGGTCACAGAACCCAGAAGACAGGTTGTCATGGCAACCAAAGTTTGAGGCCAGGTACTTCGTGACACCTTTTCCAGGCCCATCCATGGAGAAGGCAGGATTGGGGGGCTGTGATCGGCCGCGTGGGCTGCAGTCTCCCCAATCTCTCACCAGCCATGACAAGCTGATAACTGTTTTCCAAGCTCCTGAGGAATAAAATTATGATTTTCTAGAAGGGGTGATCTGTAGCCAACAGCGACTGAGAGAGCACTGTGGATTGTTTTATTTACCCAGCCAATTAACCAGCTGTGTTCAACTCCCAGAGGACTCGAGTGAGGGGTCCCATGCTCCGCCCCTCCAAGCGCCCACTTCTCCCGCCCCCACCTGTGCCATTCTCTTCCCGCATCTCTCGGCTCTGATTCTTTCCTGCCACTGAGAAGCCAAATCTGACTCTCACCAGAAACCTCTGAGCCTCATCTGCAGATTGGGTGCCTGCCTCGGGGTGGGAGCCAGGTTTTCCCAGGATTCCACAGGTGAGAAGTTGAATAGGGCCCCAGGTGTGGAAACGCTTTGTACACACCAGCTGACACTGTTTTGAATACTTTTCCATGAAAACAGAAAAAAAATATTTTTTTTTGGTAGCCAGCTCAGCCCACCCTGGGGGCAGGGCTGGCATAGCCTGTGGTGCTGGGGATTGAACCTCAGTCCCTGTGCGCTTGCCTAAGCAGGCGCTTTAGACCACTGAGCTATCTCGCCAGCCCCTCAAAGAAAATTTTTTAAAACTACAGTACTGAGGCTTAAGCTCCTAGAGCAAGCCCTGGATGTACCATAGAGAAATGAAGGCATGCTGACCTTCAGTGAGTGACCAGGAAAGTCCTCAGACAGTTAAGCGGCTCTGCAGGCCAGGCCAGGCAGGACGCTCCGCAGAAACAGGGCTACAGCTGTGTCCTTCAAAGGCAAGGCTGGGTTGCACAGGGAGGTCTTGGGGAGTGGCAGAAGAGCCATGTCCCCTGGGCAGGTTCTCCTGAACCTCAGAAACATCTTGCACTTGGAGAAAGATCTACAGGGATCTCTACCATAAAAAGCGGTAGACAAGGTGTTACTGGGCCTCTGAGGGGGGATGGGGGAGGAGGAATATTTAACTGAGGTACCTTTGAGTTTAATTTTTGTTTTTAAAACTACACGCCACAGTAAAAATTCAAGTCCCAACCAAAAGCTTGGTAGAAGTGAGTGTGTCTCAGTAAAATGGACCCGGCAGGACTCTTCAGACGGACACCAGTGTCTGACCACTCAGGTGAAATCACAGAAAAGTTTGGCCTGTCCCCTCTCCCAGAAGCTGGACAGGGCCCTCAACACCCCAAGAAACCTCCAGCTTGCCATCCCAAGGCCCCTTCCAACATTTCTATTTTGCATATTAACACTTTCAAATGTTTATGGAAGACCTGCTCCATGCTAGACACTGCCAAGAGGAGGGAGAGACAGGGGTTGAGGCCAACCGAGCAGGCCTTAGAATGACATCCTAGGGGAAAGACGGGACCAGATGCTGGTGGCCAAAGACACCCCAGGAAATTCAGGGCAGCCCAAGTGTGCTTCAGGAGATAAAAGCCACAAGTCTGGTGCCTCCCGATCAAGCCCAGCTGGTGTCCATTCCATCAGTCCTGAGCCCACACACACAGCGCTGGTGCTCCTAAGACTTTTAACCTTGAGGATGGAGGTCTCTTCTCTGGTAGGGTATCACCTGGAGCCACACCACCTGGGACGCACTGGGTCCCTTAGGGATGGCACCACCCACAATCAGGCACAAGCCCTGCCAGCTGTCCCTTGAGCCCTGGCACAGCCTTGCCACCCACCTTGGGGACACTCACCCCAGTCTTGGCTCCCTGGAGAGCCCAGCAAGGAGTATGAGATCTGCTTTCTGCGAAGGAGGCCCCCTCCCAGTCCTAACGGGACCCAGTGCCGGAGCAAGCCCTCGGGGCTTCCCACACTGGAGTTGGTGGAGCTGTCCCTGTCTCCCCTGCTGCCTCCTTTCCTTTCCCTCCAAAGGGACCAGGACACCAAGGGCTCCCTGGCTTCTGGCAACACTCCCAGGAACCCACCACCCACAGGAGCCCTCACTCCTCACTCCCGTGCTCTCAAGCCTCTCAGCGGGAGGACCAATGCAGGCTGCAGGCGCAGACGGAGACATGCTGCCCTCTGCCACTCCTGGATCAGTGGATGTGCGGAGAGGGGAGCCCCGCAGCGAAGGTCCCAGGCGGTGGCTGCCACCGCCCCCAAGGGCGCGATGGGCGGGTGGGAGGTATCCAGGGCCCCGCAGAACCCTAGGAGCAGGGGGCGAGCGCGACAGTGAGTTCGCACGGGCAAGGAACGCGCCCCTCCGACTTGCGTCTGCGGTGGGCAACCGAGAGAGGCGCGGGGGGCGGGGAGTCCCCAAAGCCGCCTGGGGTTCGCCAAGGTCCCGGAGCTCTGCCCTGAACCCGCAAACGGCCGGGCGTCCCGGACACCCCTCCATCCCGGCCCCGGGACCGGGGACTCCGGGACCATGCACACGCGCGCCCCCCGGCCGGGCGCCTGGCGCGGGCTCGGGGCCCGGACCGGGGCCGCGCACTCACCCAGCCCGCCGGGCTCCTCCTCGCAGGAGTACCAGATGCCGGTGTGGAAATTCCTGAAGAGGAAGCGGTCGTCGCCGGTCTCCCAGCTGTAGAGCGCGCCGCCCGGGGCGCCGTGCTCCGCGGCGGGGACGGCGGGGGCCGCGGTGCCGTTGGCCGTGGCGTTGGCGCCCGAGTTGGGGCAGTTGGCGCCCGCGCCCTGGCCGCAGCCCGGCTTGGGCACCCGCTGCGTGCCCTGGCACCAGTACGTGGTGAGGAAGGCGGTGGTGGCGAAGAGCAGCGCCAGCAGGTTGAGCGCCACGGCCAGGAGCGCTCGGCCGCGGCGGCTCGTCTTCATGCCGCCCGCGCCCGGGACCGCGCCGCCCGGGAGCTCCGCGCGCGAAGTTGGCGGCCGGC